CATGAGAATGTTTGTTTGTGTCGGTCTAGGTGTTTTCTATGTATATTATGTATGCATTTACATAAATCAAAATCTAAGTATTTATATCAGTTGTTTAGTAAACAAGTTCTGCTTATCTTGCGACTAGATGGAGTTGTGTGAATTCTGAAAAAAAATGAAGTGTATATGATATATGCTAAATGAATTTACACTTGTGTTAGCGATGTTTAATTACATGGAATTCTTGTTTGCGCGACATGATAATTACAGAAGTAATAATAGTAATAGTAATAATCTTAGGACAATTCACACAGCGCCATCTAGACCTAGATTAAGCTAGCTAAAGGTTGTGTTATGGGTACTAGATAACTTATACGTATACATAGATATTTTTTTTGTAAATACATACATATTATAATACAATTAATCATACTCATGAATACAAATGTTTGTGCCGTGCGAGGAATCGAACCCGCGACCATCGGTCGTAAAGCGGTGTGCTAGACCACTAGACCACCGAGGTCGTCAAGTGGATTAATCAATTATATTTCTATATTATTAATGTATTGTATAACAAGTTTCTCGTAATATTAAATTGATTATTTCATTCTAATTATTTGATAAACATAAAACTTAAGTTGTTTGTAATGGCACTCATTGTATTAGGAAAAAAGACTGGCGCCTTTTGTAAGTTGTTATGCGAGAGTTTACACAGAATCGAAGAGAGATATTGAAACACAATAGAAATATAAAATTCTACTATGAACAGAGTAATCGTTTGCATTCTTAAAGAAATATTGACAACCACATCTATATAATATGCCTTCTCTGCGCCGTTTAGTAGTAATACATTTAATAATCAGACAGATATTTCTATATTTGTATTATTAGCAAAATATAAATTTGTATTAAAGTAAAATGAAATATAAGTTATATTCGTAAATGGCTGTTGCCAACAATGTCTGGTGCTGTCTGGGATCCAGCCCCTGGAAACTTACTGAGAAATATTAAGAGAAAATAGCCAGCTAAATCTACAATAGGCAAGGTGAGCCCGTGTCAGTTCTAGGGCAGACAGTTTCATTGGTTGGCCTAGAATTGCTGCTGGTCTATTCTGGAATCCAATACCGATCGATCGAGATTGGAATGCACCGTTTTGCACTTATTCGTTTTCTTAGCAACTTATTGCTACCATGTACTGACATCAATTGAATAAATTTATGTCTAGTATTATCGTTAGTGGTTCAGAAAAGTTTACAATATGATACCAAAAGACTTTTTAGTTCAACCTTACAATATTTATTTTTTTATTCAGATATATTTACCTACTGAATAAAACCTATTATAACTCTGTTCACAATTATTCGGGAGCCGCCCTTGTATGCCCTTGCAGTTAAGAGAATAGATTTTCGATATTTTAAATATGTTTGACTATTTGATTACTATGTTATTTTTGTAAGATTAAATAAATAATTTTACTAATATTATATACGCGAAATTGCGAGTATGGATGGTTATTCTTTCAGACAAAAACTATCGATTTTGATGAAACATTACAGTAATATAAAGAATAACGAATAACACATAGGCTATAAGTTTCAAGACAGTAATTGTAAACTATGTAAAAATGAGAAAAATAAATATTTTTATCTATGTAACTGTTTATCTAAATGTCACTTCCGTTCAGCTAATTGAATGCATTTCAGTTGACTGGTGTCTGCAACTAAGCTATTAGAACTTCTGTCGCTTTACTAAACACTTTAACTAACGGTGTTATGAACTGTAAGTTAATTTCAACATTGTTGATAACATTGATGGCTATTTGCTTCAATTAAGTACATTCAAACTTTATATTACTTACTGTTTATCACTATTACGTGTAGCGGTTTAGTACACTGTATTGCGGTTCGATTCCTCGTACGATACAAACATTTGTATGCATGAATACGACTGTTTTTATTGTTATATTAGCTGTTCCCGCGACTTCGTCCGCGTGCCTTTATTTTTTTAAACTTAAAAAATGTTTCTAAAATAAAAGTGGCCTAAGTTACTCCTTATTACATCAGCTACCTGCCAATAAATGTCCCGTCAAAATAGGACCAGCCATTTCACAGATTAGACAGAACATACAGACAAAAATTGTAAAAAAAAATATTTTGGTGTATGTACCGTGTTTATATTCATATGTATGTAGTAAAAACAGTTATATCAATATTATAAACAGAGAATCGAATATTATTTATATGTATAGATTTTACGTATTTATAAAAGAGTATAAAGTATTTCCATCAGTTGTATAATATCTACAACACAAGTTTCCGGTTTTGGAGCTTGATGGAATGGAATAACATACTTATAATAAGAGTATTTTTTAAGATAAATCTTTAGGGATATATAGATGATTTTAATGCAACTTAATAACTAAATAATTTATGTATATCTGCATAGTGTATGTTTTGAGGGTTTTGGGTTTATTATCAGATTAAAATGTTGCGGAAATATTACAATTCTTTCTTTACTGGTATATTTTAAATTCGTACCGAACTAACTTTAGAATATATTCATATAATAAAATAAGAATAGTCATAATCAGATTAACGTAAATTTTTATATGTGGTTATTTACATGATTTAAGTTGCAACAACTATTATATTTGTTATTCGTTTTTAGTTTTATATATCTGTTAGTAAAATCTATTTTTTTTTTCATAGTGTACTATATTCATTTATGTTTACTATACGTGTTATCTACCCTTATCTAGCGTATATTGCATGCTATAATTTAGCTTTTAGGCAAACATAGCGATGGATTACAGTCCAGTTTTGTACCAATAGCACGCATCTAAACAACTGTTTGTATTGATTGTTATCTGTTTTGTGTGATAATAAATAAATATATAATATATGTTATGGACGAGAGATGTTTGATAAAATTTCTGTTCTTATCAAATCAAAACATATTATTTTTATTTATACATTCGCTTATGATAAGTCTAACTTTAATTATTTATATTATATAGATATGCTGTATACCTGTATGAAATTGATACGATATGTGTTGTTCAGATGTATAAGCTATATTACTGATAAGTTTCATTAAAATCTGTTGAGTAGTTTTTGGGTGAAATATTAAAAACTTCTCTCCATCCATCTATCCGTCCATACTCCCAAACTTTAACGTTTATATTGTTAACTAGCTTTTCCCGCGACTTCGTACGCGTGGAACTTAATTTTCCTAAAATGAAAGAATTTTCTAAAATAAAAGTAGCCTAAGTCACTCCTTAGTACATTAGCTACCTGACAAAAAAAGTCCCGTCAAAATCGGTCCAGCCATTTCAGAGATTAGCCGGAACAAACAGACCGACAGACAGACAAAAAGGATTAAAAATGTTATTTTGGCATATGTACCGTATATATTAAAATGCATGTAGTAAAAAAGGGTTATTTCAATATTACAAACAGACACTCAAATTTTATTTATATGTATAGTTCAGATTATAATATTTGTTATTTTAACTGTCTTAGTGATGTTACGAGTGAACTTATTGAAATGCTATTTTTTTAGTCTTCAGAATCCATTGTACTACATTACGAACGTAATAGTTTGTGACGATAGATGTAAGTATGTTTGTTACTGTATCACCATAAAACTACTGAACTGATTACAATGAAATTGGGTATACAGATAGATCATACATTAACCTATAGGATACTCTTTACCTGACATCAAGGCAGAAGCACTACTTTATAGAGCCTATTCCTTCAATGCTGCATATAATTTCATAATTTATTAATTTTGTAGAATTTCTGGGTATAATAACTTTTACTAGATTTATGGTAAATATTTAGGATACTTACCTAATAATAGAATAAGTAGATTTTTACCCTAAAACTCAAGTTAGGGACATTTTTAGGTACAGAATAGAATCTGATACGTGTGTGATATTCAGTAAATTTTTGTAAGTGCATTTAGAAGGTAAATTAATGTAAGTGAAAGAATTAAAGTTAATAATTTGATTAATTACTTAAACTGATTAATTATGCTTTATTGACTGATCCTTATAAAAATTAGTACGTTGTCTCGTATTAAAAAAAAAATGGTTTATATTGTGTTACAATTTTAAATTTTAGATGCTACAAGCATCCTTACTGTGAACGATCGCGTGATTTTCTAATATGTTAATAAGGTTAATAAATACATCATATATATAAAAAAAATAAAGAATGACGTCTCGTCACATCTTAGCACTGACTGTTAATATAGATATATTATATATTTTTGTATTAAATCAAGATACGGCGGGTTTGTATCGGTGCGAGAATTTAAAAAAAAAGTTGTTATGTTTTTCGTAATAAACAAAAAGTGTTGCCTTTTAAAAATATTAGTTTTGATTATCGTAATTTTATAAGACCACCGATTTACTAGGAAAAAATACTATATCGGCACTTATCACACTTTAACAGTTGACACTTGAAAGGTTGATAGTGATGAGTATAACTACATAAATAATGACAAACTATTACGTATAATTAATGAAATTCTAAAATCAATTTAATAATATGTATGTACGGTAATGTTTTTTTTGTAATGTTTTATTTAAATAGGGCTATATTTAGCTGTGTTTCATATGACTCCATTTTTAAAAACTGTTATGGTCGCACCAAAAAAGTTTTAAAAAGTTTTAACTAGTTCCGTTTTTATAGGATTCGACTTAGATAAATAAAAAAAAAAATACTGAGAACATACACAGGTAATATAATTATAGAACTCGATTATTAACAAACTTTTAAATACTTTTACACATTGTATAAATAAATTTACTATTTCACAAATATTTTTTACGAATCATAGTGCATAAGGGCTCCTTGTCCCTTAAGGATAAAAGGACAAAAAAAAGGAGGGCTATATATTTATCCTCTCTGTCTTTCATTATGTACGCGAGGATACGCGTGCGGGTTGCGCGGGGGAGTATAGCAGGCCGATTCGAATGACGCGGGGGAGCTGAGTCAGTAGTCGAACGCGTGCTGGCGCGGTTGGTTCACGCGAGTCTTCACGGTAAAAATTTCGATCGTAGTCACATGTAAACGAAATGGATGTCCTGCCGAGCGGTAGTTTATTCCGCGAGTTGCAGGATGTGACGGACACTGGATATTTCGAGTACAAGGTGTCGCTGGAGGATAACTGGCAACAGGTAAGTGAGTCACGCTGTGCGGGCCGGCTAACATGCAAGCGAGCAAGCTAAGCGCATTAAGTATTGTTTAACAATTTCTGACAGTGCCTAACTGAGGGGTGGCGACGCGCTTGCGTGGGCTCTCTCGGTCGATTTTCAATCTTAACCAAAACTGTATTTTCTGAGAGCACGCGTCTAGGTTTTTGAAATCCAACCGTTCGAGGTACGCCGATCCGCGCGTTGTATATATAGTACGTACAGTACACGTCAACGCGTTCGTTTACATTCAGTTACCACTGCTTACGCTAAAAATATCCTAGCTATGCTAAGAGTTTTGGGTTTATTACAAGTGTAACTGTTTAAAAAGATCAGTCATCCATAAATTCGGTATCATTTTTTTGTCCAATTATTTTGATTGTAAAACTTATAAAAAGTAATTATATATATTTAGGTATGTTGGTTATTATCAACATCGAGTCGGTAAGCCGTATTTGTAAATCATTGATGATTCATTTGCTTACCTGAAAGATAGGTACCACTACAAAGTGCTCACTTATGTGAACCAAGGTGACTGTCAAACAAATCACCCGTTTAATGACGTCAGAAACAATAAATCGTTAGAATATATTATTTGTATAATTACAACCAGTGTGACTGAATCCTGCGGTAACAAACTACGTAAAGTTATTCCAATATTTTTATTAAAATTTTTACCACCAAGAAACATTTTTATAAAATCCAGTTTCACTTTCCGAAAGCATTTCAAATATCTCACCGTCGGAATAAACATTCACTGCGCTTGTATCACACACTAATCCTTTTAGTTTATTTATTCACCTACGATTTTCAAATAATCGTTGACAGCCAGTAACTCCTTTAAAGGAATAAAAATGTACATTTTTATCATGTTAGATCTTCAGTATGCAAATTAATTTGTAGTAATTGTGATAGGTAATTACAAGACTAATAAAAAACAATTATACAGACAGACTTATATGGACATCTTACAATATGTTAATAAGGTGTTTATCTTTACTGATGTCATATGCTCTGTGGATTTTATTTTTATAAACTTTAAGAAAAATCATTACGAGCAACGAAAAATTTTCTTGGGATAACATAAGTCTACTTTTCAAGATTATAGTATTTTTGCAGAAAATTATGAAATATGTATATACCTATTATCTTTTTTAGGAATGGCCGAAAGATTATCTAATCGGAAGATCTATTTAATTATACACAGAAACCTAGAATCCTCTTTTTACCCCCTTCGGGGAGTGAATTGGGCACTAAATCTGCACTCCCTAAGGTTGGCTGGTAGAGAATGCTATTAGCATTAAGCCCGCCTATTGTAAAAAATCAATAAAGTTTTAAATAAATAAATAAATAAATTGAATCGAAAATTCTTAACGTAATCCTTATATACGTTTTAAACACAACACTTGTGAATAAACCCAAATTTTTAGCACCAAGATTACAAATATGGCTGTGCGTTGAGATGAGTCAGGGAATTTGGTTTCCTGTTTTAAACATAAGATTACAATAGAACTTTAATTACTTAGTTTAAAATAAATTACAATAGCAAACACCTTACAAACGTTATATAAAAAATAATGCCTATCAGCGATAAAGTCAATATCACCACCCTATTGGAGTCTACTGTCAGATTTAGGGCTCACCCAAATTTCTCCGCGTGACGCTATCTTAGCCCTTCCTTTCCAGATGTTAGCAGCAAGGTAAAGATTCACCTAGGTAAAGATTGTCTTACAAGATGATTGCCCAATTTATTCTAGCTACAACACATCTACTCCGACGACTATAGATTCTACGATAAACATGACCAGCCCATTGCTACATCAGATTGCAAAGTCTTTGACTTTGGTACTCAGGAGAATTACTTCGTTACGGATTCAATCCCTTAGAGAAATTCCTAGAGTAGCTCTCTATGGTTGGCTGAGCGACTTTGAATTGGCAAACTATTTGTATCTTAGAAGTCTATGTTCTATACATCATAATAGGTAAGATGCATTGAACGTACACACAACAGTAAAAAGAGAAAAGAATAAAAAGTAAAAAATCGAGGTAATAAACTATATAATGTTATTCGTTTATGAAGCAAATCGAATGAATGGCAGTTTATCAGAGATAAAGCATTGTTGGAAGTAAAAAACAATAACTAAAGTAATCTAGCGATCAATCTGTTTTATTTATTGTCCGTAGATTGTAATACACTTTATTTTCGCAATTTACCGATCACAGACCAATTAGCTATCGACAGGGAGAATGAAATGTTAAACGTATATATTGAATTTTCCATTTCCTTCACTTTAGATTTAGTATGAAGTTTATTTAGCATTGGGTGTGAAATGAATTACATCAATACAATAGAATTACTTATTTGTTTAGTAGTATTTTAATCCAACGTTTTGAATAATCTAAAAGTAAGGCAAAAACCAAAAGAATTGAGTTGAAGGTCGAATTCTCTTGAAATAGATCTTGAAAAGAAAAAGTCTAATATGCAGGAAAGTTTCTGATCTGCATATGGAAATAATATAAAATCCAATAGTAATCCAATAAGAACTGATATGGTCAAGTACAATAAAAATTTGCGAACACTGTAATTATAAGTACAGAAGACATTCTGGGAGGTGTATGACCACCATAGAATTTATTACTATGGGTATATGTAATTAGTTATTTTGTCAATGTAAATTTTGTTATTACTTAGTATGGTATATAACATAACTAAAAAACTTTAGAATTTTTTTTTGTTTCAGTATGTCGTATTCTTAGTGGATACATTATACCCACATAATTATGATTTATTCGATATCTATTTAGACCAGTTCTAGATATAGCAGAGTATTTACTTATAGTATATAAAAAATATTTTTCTTGATAGCTATATGTAAGTTTAGGGTGACTGACTGTAAATTCTATAAGTTTTTGTATTTATGTAATCTGTCTGTTCTTACTAGCATATTGCTAATGGAACATTATAATAAGTTTAATAATATGTATTAAGAAATGGTCATTACGATAGGGTATTCTTATTCATAAATAATACATGCATACAATGTGTTTCTATCTAAATTGATGCTGTGCGGAGATTAGTACATTATCAAGGAAGAACCGTTGCAGTCTACATATTTGAAAATTTTTTTTTTTATTGAAATATCAACGAAATAATGCTTAAATAATTTTCATATAACGGAGACATATAGCAGACTTTTTTAAGTATATGAAAAGACTAGACTAGTAGTCTTTTTAAATACTTAAAAAAGTCAGTTATATTTCTTAGTTACATGTAAATGTAGATGATTTCCTAGACAACAAAGACTATTAATCTACGGACATATATGGTGTTACATCATATATCAATCAAGTGTATTGGACATATCAGAAGGTAATTGTGTAGGTACACAATTACCTTCTGATATAGGTATATCTATCTATCTAGTTAGGGAACCTCAATATTGGATATGCCAATAATGATAGTCATATTAATATCTAGAGCCACAGCATAAGCAATTTCACGGCTGTCTCTCACCCTTTGAACAGAACACAGCAAGCTACCCTCTGTTAACACCAGTATTGTTAGCAGAGACAATGTGTACAGTTTCCTCGCTCTGGCTTAGCCTGATTTCAGAGATTTAGTAAATACATTATTAGTAATATTACGGGATCATACCACGATGTACGTGATGTTGTTTATGTATGTACATAGACGACGGTTACCGATTACCGTTAAAAGATACCAATTACATAAAAAAATCAATCAATGATGATGAAATCGTTTAAGGGTTTATAAGTTTATATTTATAAAAAATGTTAAACAGTAAAAAAGCGTATTCATTTAAAATATATATATATAATTAGAATAAAACAATATTTCCAATGTGTCTGTAGTATTGACATAACTGGTAATCATGTAGTTTCAATGCCTTAAAGAAAAATACTCATTTTTAAAACAAAAATGTAATGTCCGAAATTTCAATGATTACGAACGGAGAATCTTACCATTTTCAACATCTGTATTGAAACTGTAGGTACATGGACAGAAGGCGATAAAGCAATCAAAAAACGTTTAAATTAAATGGCGAGTATTTTTGAAATGCAATCATATCTCGGAATGATTAATTACGTTACGTTATATTCATTTATCGAATAAAACAATGTAGCCATGACAGATTTTATGCAGTTGACTCTGCACAAAGTCTGCTTGTTTTTAAACCACGATAATATTCAAAGTTAGTTAACTCGATATAAAGTTACAACTTATACTCGATTTTCCCAGCGGCCAACTGAATATAAAAGTTTCATTTTTCACGTCAGCTCCGAGCAATTATGGAATTCAAACGATATAACTTTTACTAAGCTTTTTTCTTCGTTTGCGTTGATGTTTTTTGGAGTTCAGTTCAGTTCACTTGTGGTGATTAAATCTCTATTTTATTGATTATATTATAATTATTTTACAGGATCACATTACACGTAGATTATGAAAGTTATTAGAATAGATTAATAATTAATGAATTAGTGCGTTCAATAATTATGTAATTAGTACTTTTAAAGCCGTACAAACGCAACAAAAACACTTTCCTATAGTTCCTAATCAAAAAACTAAAATATCTTCAAATATACAACTACGCGTTAGAAGAAACAAGTAAAAAAGTTATATTTTAAATTAAAGAAATGCATAACAAAATTATTGTAATATAAGGAACAATATATAATGGCCGCTCGAGGTGTTAGCAACAATAATATTAATAAACAATAATTGATACATTAAATTCTACTAACATAGATTTTAATGTTGTGATGTAACGATAACAAGCCCTCTAGGTATGCAATCAATAACAATTAAAATAACGACCAATGAAATAATTCAACGATTTCCAGTCAACATCTGTTGCTGTTGATTAATATTGTAAACGGATTATAAAATGCCACTACCAACTGATATAAAACGTTTCTCAATCAGGAAATGTGTAAATCACCCAAAAATTGTAAATATTATTTTA